CCCCCCCCCAAATTGCCTTTGAAACAGTTTTGTCATTTATGACAATGTCCCACGAGTTTCAGGGACTCCTGAACCGTGTGGAGCGAGGATGTGCGTTTTCGGGCTGACTACAGGTCCCCCGAGTTTTGCAAGGAGTGTGGCTTAGGTTGACTAAGGGTCCCCTGAGTCTTGCAAGGAATGCGGCTCAAGCTGACTAAGTGTCCCCTGAGTCTTGCGAGAAATGCGGCTCGGGTTGACTTTGTGTTTCCGAGGCCTGTGAGGATGTGTCGCTTATGTGACACTTGGAATTGACAGATTATTGTTGGAATTGACGGATCATGACTGGGGGTACGCCTAGGTGGAGAGTTTTTGGGTTTTAAGATGTTTAAACTAAAATTGAGGATTTTATCTTGGTATTTTTGGGTAAAAGTTTTAATACCTATTTTTCTGATCTTATGAGACAAGGAATGAAGGTTTACAAGTTTTAAGGATTTTATACAATTCACAACTCTTCTCTTAAGTAATGGGCTATTTTATATATATACGTAATTATGTATGCACATATGTGATGGGTGGAAGATCGTTCTGAAACCAATATCTTTTGCTTGAGTTTCAGCGGATTGATTAGAGTTTGAAGCCTTTAGTTTTGGGAATATGTAAAGGAATACTTCATTTATTTGCTTATATGGATCGAACTTTGGCTTTTGGTGGAAAGAACTATGTATGGCTTGATCCCTTAGTAAGGGTATGTAGGCAACTTAGAGTTACTAGGTGCAGCCACAAGATCAAGTGTTGAAAATTTGTTCAGTTAAGTTATTTTGGAATTTGTTAACGTATTCATGTTGTTCTAAGAGTTGAGACCAGTTTCAGATGGTAGAATGATTTATTTGGTATAAAGAGGCCTGAGGCCATTCAAAGTTATTTGTTTGATGCATTCTGAACGATTGTGGCTTTAAGTTGCCTTTTGTGCAGGTGGAATTTTTTTTTTTTGGGGAAATGAGCGAAATACAAGGAAGCCTCAGCCAAATTTTCGACAGAAGTCAAACCGTAATAGAATTTGAAGTCTTAATTAGAAGGGCAATTTGGTCAAGTGTGCCCGGCACCTGCCAGGTGTTGGACACGCACAGGGTTCGGCTCAAATTCCAAAGTGAAATTTAGGTCGGGTCCTGTCATCCAGCACCGCCGCAAACCTACCGACCCCTAACCTCCGCACCCATCTACCTCTTCCCCTGACGACGAGCCACCAGCGACCTCCACCTATCCACCTTGAGCATATCCATCCATTCACCTCAAATCCCATAAATCCAAATCACCTATCCGTTCCGTCCCCTCTCTCTCCAACGAAGTGTGTAGATTGGAAAGAAAGTTTCAACAAACGAAGGTTGTAGATTTGCAACCAAATGATAATGATAGATAGAGATGGGGCTGTCGGGATTGTGGGGATAGTGGGACTGCTGGGATCTGAAGAGTGGATTTTGTTGGTGAGTCCTTACTTAGTTACGATTTTGGTTCCTTACTATGTCAGGATTTTGGTTACTTACCCATTTATCTAGTCCTATTATAATTGAGATTTATTTCATATTGTAATTTATATTTATTTTCTATTGTAATTTGGATTTATTTTCTATTTTATTCAGGGTTGTACTTCTTTATAAATAACTCCTTATTGTAGAAGAATAAAATATGAGCATAATTGAATATTTGCCCTACTTTGTTTCACTTGGTATCAGAGCCAGGTTTTCTTGTGACTTGTGCTTGCATTCTCCTTGCAATTTAAGTGCGCTCCTCCCCTCCTCTTCAAGGGGGAGAGGGGGAGTGAAAATGATATGTTTATTAATGTATCCCCATTACCTTGACATACGTTTCGCCTCCCAAATCACACTGTTTTTCCGACCATGGTGCTATAGGAACATCTTTCCCACCACTTTTCTCCCCCACCAAGGAATAAGCAGCCATGACTGGCACGTCACGAAAGCCAGTCATAATATCTACCATAGAGGGTTCAACCTCGCTATTCTCATTAGGGGTAACCCTCACTCGTCATTTCTTGGTATTTTTCTATATTGGTGAGACTTCTGACGCAAAGTCTACATTCAAACTAGTCCCAATGTCTGGAAACTCTTGTATGTCGTATGGGCATGGCCTCACAGCACCAATAATTTGATTGCACGAAACTCGAGGAGGATTTTGCGCTGAGGTACTCCTTCCCAACCCATAAGCCTTCCCTTGTAAACCATTTGCAGTACAAATGCTAAACACATCTTTCATCATCGTTGTCTGCCTCTTGTATTATTCATTAACCACCACCACCCCCGATTGTCGCAATGCACAATTTGACCCAACATGGTCTAATCTTCCACAGAATAGACAAAAGAAAGCCAATCTTTCATATTCAATTTCATATTTCTTAGTAGGTTCGTCATGGGTGAGGCGCAACGTTATGCAACGCTTAAGTGGTTTAGAGATCTTTAGCCTCACTTGAATTCTTAGAAAACTCCCCATGTAGTCCCCGTTTAAGCCACAGTCTACCTGAACAAAGTTACCCAAAAAATTCCCTAATCTCTCCCCCATTGCTAGCTTCACAAATATGGGAGGAATATGTCGAAACCGAATCCAAAAATTTTGGACTTCCAATGGAATCGACAAGGGGTCAACACTTCCATCAGTACCTATTAACAGCAGCAGTGCCCTATCAAAAGTCCAGGGCAACCATTGCAGAACCCTTCGCCAATCCAAATCAGTTTTGAAAGAGAACAAAAATCGCAAAGGATCATTAAGTTGGACCGCCGTAAAACCCTCCATGGTATACCAAATCTTCTTCATGGTACCTATGAATGACTTCTAATGAATCGATTTGGATGTAAGAAGTCTCCCTACCATGAGGAACCGCTCAGCCTTCAATGCTCTGAGTTCCTCAATTCCAACAACCTCGAAGGCTTCAACATCCGAGATTGCCAGAGTGCTCGTCATTCCATTCGCCAACTCACGTGGGCAAAGTACATTTAGTAGAAGTTTTCCTCTATTTCTCATGTGGTTAGCTTGGAAAATTGGATTAGGTAAAAAGCATTAAATTCTAATCAGAATTTCTGTCTAAAGCAAATATTAAATCCCGCTTAAATTGTCGGGTATTTGGCTCGATTACATCATTTCAAAGCCAATCTATGGCTGCTTACTGATAGCTGCTTAAATTGTCGGGTATTTGGCTCGATTACATCATTTCAAAGCCAATCTATGGCTGCTTACTGATAGGTCCGTTATTTCTCATATTTTTATACCTTTTAAATTTGGTTTTTGTTGGGAAATTTGATTAAAAAGAGCTTTATTACTTTACTTTCATTATTTTCAGCTATTCTGCGCACTTAGAAGGTTTTTGATGGAAAATCAACTTTATGGAAGAGTTTTAGTGCAAGGCAAATTGGAGAAGAAAGTTAAAGCTAAGACATTGAAGATCATTGTGTTAAATTTGCATAATTTTATATAAAGCCAATTGTTCCAGAATTACAAGTCAAGACAGTGTAAGTTGCAATCCTGTTAGAATTGCACTACTGTGGAAGATTGATGAGTTGAAGACTTTCTCGATTTTTCCTCATAGCTTACGATATATGTTTGGAAAGCTTAGAGATAAAGCTACGTGTCTACTATTTCTCCAGAATTTTCTAGGAAGTGAAACGACCCCAAATATTGCGTGCAAGTCAGCTGACATGTGTCCCAGTCAAAGAAGGATTCTTTCCTAGTTTGTTCCCTTGTTTAGGGTTTTGACTTTCTTTAGGAGAGTTTTTCCAGACTTTTTTTTAGATTAAGGTTTATTTATTTTGTCCTAAATAAGGCCACCTTAATCTCTCTCTAGGCTACCACCCTTTCACTCAATTTCCATTCGAGAGAGCATGGGGAGCTTAGGCATGCGCATCACCATTATTTTCAGGGTTCTATCTCTCCATTACTTTTCTTATAATTTCTATTATGACTATGTGTAGCTAAACGCTTTTGCTGGGGTATGATGAAGCCCTAATATGATGATCTAGTTTTCTTATTTTGCTTATCTTTTGATTACCTTTTGATGTTGGATTCTTAATCACTGTGCTTATTAACTTGATTGAATGTCTTGATGTTTAACTACTACCTTGGTATTTAATTGAGTTATTTGATGCAAATTAGAGTAAATACCATACCTAATTTGAGGCTTGCTTCTTTCGGTTTTGAATTGTAATTCTTCTAGGGTAAATACTATACTCCTAGGGTTTACATGGTTATAAAAGGTTTTCACAAATCTTAAAGAGTTTCTACATGTTCATATTTGTACTAAATACCATAGACAAATTGCATATAGGAATATACGAGTTAGCCTAAATACCATAGGTAATTCATGAAAAGGAAAACTACTCAACAACATCAATTGGATTAATTAACGGATTGGTAATTAAAAAGCTAGATTGGATTATTAGTGGTGGATTCGTTGTCCTAGTGTTTTTACAAATTGATTTGCAACCCGTTTAATTTTCGTGTGTTTTATTTGTTTCGCTCTTGAGTTTTTATCAAAATTAAGTTTTCTTTAAAGTTATTTCAGTCTGATTGCCTTTCTTTTGCTTTTATTTCAATCTGATCGGACTCTTTCTCATTTTCCTTAACTTGTATTGTCCATTCGAACCCATTTCTATCTTCAATAATAGAGTTCTTTTAGTCCAAATACAATTTTAGTGCTTTGTTCTGTGAGATCCCACATCGACCAACGGAGAGTGGGTGATGTGCCTTGTATGTACACACCCGTATCCATATAGCACGAGGCCTTTTGGGAGCTCACTGGCTTCGGAGTCTTAGGAACTCCGAAGTTAAGTTCTTTTGCTTTTATTTCAATCTGATCGGACTCTTTCTCATTTTCCTTAACTTGTATTGTCCATTCGAACCCATTTCTATCTTCAATAATAGAGTTCTTTTAGTCCAAATACAATTTTAGTGCTTTGTTCTTTGAGTGTTTTCATCATGCAAGTGGAATATTGAAGTCCTTAATTAACTAGGAATAGAAAATAATCAATCCAGGCCCGTTCCCCACTTGGACCACAATGGTTTGAAGAGAAGTTAAGATTTCTTAAGGCACATGACTTTCACTTTGAGAGTAACCTCCCCTTTTCTTCATAACGAGTGTTATTGAATTTAAGGTTAACTCTCAGCGATGTTTCTCTTTGAATTACATTTTTTCTATTGAGCTCATTAGTTTGGATTCAAGGATAACTCTCGGTGATGTTTCTCTTCGAATAATACTTTTTCTATTGAGGTCATTAATACCAACAGTGGTACGCCTACAATCAAACCACATAAAAAGTAGTTTGAGCCCATTCAAGACCCTTTTAGGGTGAACAACATCATCAAATATCGGGTATGAAATATCTCTTACATATACTTCATCATTTTATCCCTTGTTTTTTCCACACATATATAATATTAAATCAAAGAGACATATTTTTTATCACCAAAATATTTTTTTTAAATGTTGATTTTATTACAAACATATTCAAAATGAAGTGATTAACTTTCCTTGTCAAGGGAAAGCTTCATTTGTTCATGTATGAAGTCTTTGTCATCAGCCGACCCTCGTTTGCCTCAATGGTTGCGGAAACTTTGTAATAACCCAATTGTTATGTATTTTATCCAATGATCCCTTAATTAAGTTACGTTCAAATAAGAAAGTGAATGTTAAATTTCTAACAATCACTTACGTGACATACATTTCACAAAAAAAGAAAAAAAAAAGAAAAAAAAAAGAAGGTCACCATTCGTGCTAAATCATTGTTTTTAATTGATTTTTTGACGAACTTTATGGTGGGGGGCAAAGTGCAATATGAGATCTAACCATAGTTTAAAATAGCACTGGGGCAATATTTAAGCCATATTCTACCATGTGATCCAAGATCAGGTGCTTGCCTAGAATCTCTTGAATAATTACACAATTTGGAGATCCTAATTACAGGATTGGTCTTGCAATGAATAGACAAACAAAGATTGTACTCCATAAAATCATTATATAGAAGATAAAGAGAATATATCTTACCTTTACATCGTTAAATGTGGTGTATTGTTTATTTATTTTTTAAAACATATTGTCTTACATATACACTTCATTCTTTATTCCCTTTTCTTTCCCACACATATAATATTAAATCAAAGAGATGCATATTATATCACAAATACTTACTATCAAGTGATTAACTATCCATGTTTTTCCCAAATTTGTTACAAATGCATTGGTGGGTGTGGTAGTGATGGCTCTTGTTCACGTGGTGGTAGTTCGCTTAGGTTTTTGGTTATTTTCGGTTTGTGGGCTTTGTTTGAGTGTATGCGTAATTGTGGTGATGTGGGCTAGTAGTTTTAGTGCGGCTTTTGTGAGTTTTAGTTTTGTTTTTAGCATGTTAGTTTGTTGCCTTTCTGGGATTGGTGCGTTAGATGTCATGTTGATGTTTTTGATTGTATTGTTGAAGTTTCTTTTGATTAAAACAAAAAAACAAAAAAACAATCCTAGTCAATGGAAATTTTTTTTCCATGTAACTTCAGTTCATGAAGTTAAGTTGTATTTTTGCTGTGGAACTAAAAGGTATTGATCTCACTCACGCAACACCCACGTCCACTTGTGAACTTTCTAGAGGCTTGCTTTTTTGGGATCAAATACAAATTTTGAGATCGAATTAGAGAAATCCTTTTGTAACTTAAGTCTTAAGGTATAGCTACACGAAGATGGTACTTCACGAAATCATATTATATGGAAGATAAAGAACTTTGATAAAGATATCTTTTTCTTTACATAATTAAATATCGGGTTTGAAATATCTCTTACATGTAATCCCTTATTTTTTCCACACATATATAATATTAAATCAAAGAGATACATATTTTTTAATCACCAAAATATTCTTTTTGATGTTGATTTTATCACAGAAATATTCACAATGAAGTGATGAACTATCCTTCTCCAGGTGAGGTCTTTGTCATTAGCTGGCCCTCTTTTGCCTCGATGGTTGCGGGGAACAAATTTTTGTTAAATGAACTTGCCTAGAAAAATGCTGCGGGAACAATTTAAACTAGCAAAATGCGAATTCCCCTTCGTTAAGAAAACGCGCTAAAATAAATATCCACAAAAGTCGTCTCAGTCGTCTCTGTCTTCTCTTGTGCTCCTTCCATGCCCATAACTTATTAGTCTTTACAAATTTCTTTATCTCTCTCCGACTGGTAAGCTTCTTAACTATAGTTTGGCCGTTTGGCTTTCTATTGATCATCATTTAGTCTAATTCCTTCTCTCTCTCTCTCTCTCTCTCTCCACACACACATTCAATGTTTAAGTCTTTCCAATATGTTGGAACTGGGTTTAATTTTAAATTTTATGTTATTTTAGATTGGATGTTTCTGATTCATGGGTTTCGGCTGCTTTCATGATTCACAGCTTAATCTCGTCGAGTTATTATGGATTACAGCTTCGGTCTTGATCGGAATTGATAGTACTTTGGTAGTATGTTATGGATTAAGACTTTGATCATATGAACTAATGATGTAATAGCATTGTTAATATTTCAAGTGCCTGGCTTTTGTGTGAAAATTGTGAATAAGGAGTCAAAGACAGTTTTTGGGGTGATTGTCATACATACAATACATAATGGGTGGAATTCGCACCACAGTGAAAACGGCAATGAGAACGGGGCTCAAAGTAGAATATGTCATTATAGATTACCCTCGAGATAGCAATGAGTTTGATGGACTGTCCCCTAGAGCAATTAGTAGTACAACTACATGCCCGGCTATTCCTAAGCAAGCTGCAAAGGTAAACTCACACCTTGATACAATGCTCGACCCTTTTTTACTTATGGTGTGTTGGAATTAATTGTTACTAGTGCCTGAAAATTGGAGCCATTATGGTGATGATATCACTCTAGCAATCCTGAAAGTTACATGCATATTCTTAATCAGAGTTGAATGTAGATTTAATTTGTACTTCGTACTTTTTTGGTTATTGCAATGGAAGGGAAGTTAGGGTTAATGAGCTGGTTTCACCGAATAAGCCTCCTTATTCATTATGCTTGTGACCCTTTCCCATGGAGAGCTCTGTAATCTTTCATCTGTGGAAGGAAGTTGGTGATGCAAAGTCAATCAGAAATCAAGGTCTTACCATTTGTCATTGCTTTCAAATGAATAATTAAATTGGATGCATCTTTAGAAACCAGCACAGTGCTAGGTTTTGAGTATACAGATTCAGAGTGCTTTATTAGCGTCCTACTGAAAACAAACTTGAAATTTCAAGATGAAGAGGGCAGAGTAATGAATGAAAAGAGGCGATAAAGGTTGTTGTTGTTATTTGAAACGAGATACTACTTGTTTGCTGGTAAAAATAATCATGAACTTCAACTTTTTAGTTTTTCAAGTGTTTGCTTATTATAGTAGATGATATCAAATAGCTCATAGAAAATAAGGTTTGCAAAGCTTATTCTTTGGCCAATAGGCGGTACATATTTGAGAAGTTCTGTATGGTAACATTAATTTCCGTTTATGAAATCATAGAAGAGGAACTTGTTTTGGTGGCATGGGTCTAGTGATGTTTGGAATGTGATCCGTTTGTGTCTAACCTGAAGTCGAATTTTAACCCCTTACCACTGGCATGTTGTTTAATCCTTCTTAACCCACTATTGAGGATCATTAATTCAGCTAAGTTTAGGCCTTAGTTTGGTGTTTCTGTCTGTCTCTTGTATACGAAGAACACATGGTTCTAATTAAGTTTCTCTTTACTCTATTTAAATTTATAAAAGCAGATCAAAGGGTTAGTTCATCCCTGTTTTATGGCTTGTTTATGTCTCATCCATGTTTTTGTACATAGCTTTTGCTTTGAATAAAAAATGTTTCTTCTAAAAGAAAAAACAAACTCAATTGCTCAGAAAACATCTGGTATTTATTGTACGTGAAAATGATGATTAATATTTGCCTCTAAACTATAGTTAGGAAATCAAAGCAAATGTACGTGGGGTTCTGTGAATGTCTGAAACTGCATGTTCAAGCCTCCCCTGCCTCCTTATTGTATAAAACATTGCGAAACAGTTTGAATTTGACCTACCAACTACAATGTCATACTGTTATCACTGTCTTTTCTTAGAAATGCAAAATGTCCTTAACGCATAATAATATAGAATGCAATCTTTGGTTCTGATATAAATGTTCCAAATGTTACAGATAAGTTGTTGAGTAGACTAATAAGTTGCTCTTGTGTTATAGGTTTCAGAAGTAAGCTCACTTTTGGGCAAAGCTGGCATCACTGGGTTTGGGAAGGCTATACAATTTTTGGACAGTCTTGGTAGCAGCATGACAAATTTGACCTCCATTGTTGGTACCTCGGGAATGTCAAGGAAAGAGAATACAATTTCAATTTTGGCTTTTGAAGTTGCCAACACAATTGTCAAGGGTGCCAACCTGATGCAATCCCTTTCAGAGGATAATGTCAGACATTTGAAGGAGGTGGTGCTACCATCAAAAGGGGTGCAAACTTTAATATCTAGAGATATGGATGAGCTCCTGAGAATTGCTGCTGCTGACAAGAGGTGGTTAATCAGATATCATTTATGTTTTATCTGTTTTCTGAGTGAGAGTATTTCTTGTTGTTTATTATCACCATATAATTTCTGGTTATTTTTTCATATGTTTGTTACATTAATGAAAGAATGTTATGCTGTTCAACATTGGCAGAGAAGAACTGAAAACATTTTTCAGTGACGTTGTGCGTTTTGGAAATCATTCTAAAGATCAGATGTGGCACAATTTGGACCTCTATTTTAAGAAGTAATACTAATGAATCTTGTAACTCTATTTTCTTGGTCATTTACAACATTTAAATTGAGATTCTCATTTGTCTATGTGTTCCATCTGCAATTTTGTATTATATTAGGATTGGTTCAAAAGTTACACAGCAGAAGCATTTCAAAAGGCAAGCACAGGCAGATATGGAACAATTGATGACTTTAGTTCAGTCAACAGCAGTGAGTATTTACATGTTACTGTGGTATAGAAAATGCTGATCTCTTCGTTACAGCAGTATCTGTTAATGGTTTAGCTGTGAAAATCCTATATCTGTTTATCACATTACTGTTGTATCAGTAACAATATCAAAACACAAATTCCTTTTCTCACCCTGTGGAAGATCTATATGTATGCACAGTACATCTTTTCTTTGGTTACATGAATTTTCTACTTAACATTGTACTTCTTTTGCAAGGAATTGGATGGAGAATGCATTCATTATCTCCTTTTCACACTTCACGGCTTTCCCTGAATTAATGGCAGATATGTATTGTCCTTTAGAACT